GGCATCTTCATCATACACATTCTCCAAAAAAACTAGAAAAACAACCAAAATTCTTCTTTGGTTTTGCCTCTCTCGAAGACTTTTGGGGAAAGGAAAATGCGATCAAAGTTTCATGCTTTTATGTACCCATTTTTTTGGTTTTGGTCATATGATCCCATATCTTCATCTAGCTAACAAAATAGTAGCTGAGAAAGGTCATAAGGTAACTTTCTTGATTCCCAAGAAAGCTCAGAAACAACTCGAACCTCTCAATCGGTTCCCAAACAGCATTCTCTTCGACACCACCGTTACTCTTCCTCATGTCGATGGTCTCCCTGATGGCGCAGAGACAACCTCAGATGTCCCTAAAGCATCTAAGAGACTCCTGTTTGATGCCATGGATCTTTTGCGCGATGAGGTTCAAGTTAAGGTTCGTGCTTTGAAACCAGACCTAATCTTCTTCGATTTTGTTGATTGGGTTCCAGAAATGGCAAAAGAATTAGGAGTCAAGAGTGTGAGTTACCAGATCGTATCCGCATCTTGTATAGCTATGTTTCTTGCACCTGGTGCTGAATTAGGGCGTCCTCCGCCGGGTTATCCTTCATCGAAACTGGCGTTACGTGGACACGACGCTAACCTCTGTTCTCTCGCTTCACTAATCGCTCCCAATTTCTTTTTGACCGTGTCACCACGGGCCTTAAGAACTGCGACATTTTCGCCGTAAGGACATGCGCAAAAATCGAAGGTAAACTATGCGATTTCGTCGAAAGACAATGTCAAAGAAAAGTTCTCTTAACCGGTCCAATGTTCCCTAAGCCACAAGACAAGAGTAGTAAACCGCTAGAAGATCAGTGGGAACATTGGTTGAACGGATTCGAACCTAGCTCGGTAGTGTTTTGTGCGTTTGGCACCCATTGCTTTCTCGAAAAAGATCAATTTCGAGAACTCTGTTTAGGAATGGAGCTATCAGGATTACCGTTTCTAATAGCGGTTATGCCTCCGAGAGGCTCGTCAACGGTTCAAGAAGCGTTACCAGAAGGGTTCGAAGAGCGGGTTAAAGGGCGTGGAATCGTTACAGGAGAATGAGTGGAACAACCTTTGATATTGTCTCATCAATCTGTAGGTTGCTTTGTGAACCATTGTGGGTTTGGTTCAATGTGGGAGTCTTTGCTTAGTGATTTTCAGATTGTGTTTATTCCACTATTGGCTGATCAAGTTCTCACCACAAGATTGTTAACCGAAGAACTCGAGGTCTCTGTGAAGGTTCAAACAGAAGATTCTGGATGGTTCTCGAAAGAGAGCTTGAGGGATGCGGTTAAATCTGTGATGGATACAGATACAAGTGAGATTGGGAAGCTAGTGAAGAGTAACCATAATAAATTGAAAGAGACTTTGGTTAGTCCTGGATTGTTGAGTGGTTATGCTGATAAGTTTGTAGAAGCATTGGAGGATGAAGTCGATAATACAAAATCGTCTTGAATTGATTGCTTTGTAAACTCTAAAATAAAGTTTGAGTGGTTATGCTTAATAAGTTTGTAGAAGCATTAGAAAATGAAGTATACAATGCAAACTATGATAACTAATCCTATGCTAATTACACATTTAAGATTAGCTAGATCTACTACAAATTTCGCTATATGTAAAATGAGCTATATATAAATTTCGCTATTATGTGTTCTATAGACTTGGTAGCCTCGCCAAAGCTATTGTAGGCATATGAAACTAAGTAGAAGATATATATAGTTATAGAATATAGCTCACCAGTTTCACGTATCTGTATTTTACATATAGCGAAATTTGTAGTACATTAATCGAACTCAGATAGGGGTGTCAAATGAGTCATT